TGATCAATATATATATCTAAGGTAGCTATTGTATTCTTAAAGAAAATATTTTTAAAAAATATGGAACACCAAGGTCCTAATTAGTAACGGAGAATTCATTTTTTGTAATAATAATTTTGGAACATTAGTGAATAAATTTGGTATAAAATATTAAAATACTGAGCAAGCCGAGATATCAAATTAAGAGATCAAATAGACTTTGGCAAAAAAATTATATATATTTAAGAAAAGATTGGTCATACATTCAAATTATATGATGTTTTGGAAGTTTATATGGAAAATCATACACTCCAATAAATATGTCATCATATTGATTAATTTTTTGGAAAATCATGTCACTAAACTTTATAGAAAGAGCATAAGACCTCTTCCACAAAATAAATAGTGGAGAAAAGATATTACTTCAGTTAAATAAATGAAAAAAAATGTAATAATTTCAAAATCAAGAAGTTCACTAATTAAAATTCAATTTATATTTAGTTATAATGTTGTTATTGTTAATTCAAGATTAAAATTATTCTCAGAGATTGAAGTTCAATTTGGTTATATACATTTACTATAGTAAAAGTTCACTTTGATAGAGTTGTGGATATAAAGGACATGAAAGATACTTAAATTATGCACACAAGAGCATGTTTTAGTATAAAAATACGCAAATATTGAGATACATTGATTTATATAAAGTTTATCTAATATAAATTTTATAAATATATTATAATTTTTACAAAAAATTAAAATTTTTAATCATTATCTAGGGTATTGGTATCCATTCGAATAAAATTTTCAACAGACCCGTAATTGGCTCTAAAACCATAAAAAATACATAATCTATTCCCGTCCCCCCTCCCCCTCTCTCCCTCCCTTTCTCTCTTTTTAGCCATCATTTTTCTCTGTAAAATGCTTCATGAGTAAGGAACAACAAAATATGGAAAAAGATTTGAGGTAGAATGGGATATTTATAAAAAATATTTTTTTATAAATATATAAAAAATATATGACTATCTTAATTGTTAGATTTTAATGGAGAATTCTATTTGAGTCCAATCATACTTTGAAATATATCATATTAAGAATACACAGCTGAATACATTTGGTAAAATGAGTGGTAGATTACCTCATGAATTTTATTTGTGAAAACACAAACTATTTAAAAAGTTCATTTTTTATGCCTACAATACTCATAAAATATAGAAAAACATATATAAAATAGAAAATTGAATGATTTTTAATATGATAAAGATGGATTGCCAGCTAATCTTAAAATAAATCCAAAAAATTAACTTGAATACAATGCATACATTTCATTCTAACAATAACCTAACGGCATAATATCAGTGTCATATGACAATATTTTTTAATAACTATTCAAAGCTGAAAATTATTTGAAAAGATAATATAGAAGATATATTGGAGTACCTTATAAATTATGTATACATGTGTGAAAGCAACTTCAAAGTAAATAAGCATTTGAGATTATTATAATGATTTTTCCAGAAAGATATGCATATGTTTAACGATTAGGTAAATGATTAGGTAAATGATGGTTGGGAGGTAAGAGATGATAGCTGGGTAATAATAGATAATGAGACAACACTTGGGCGATAAAATTAAAGTGATGACAATCGAACAATACTGATCAAGACAAAGTGTCTAGTGACAACAATTAGAAGAAATTGACTGAGTAATAGTGATTAGGCAATGACTAGATGTGAAGAATGGAACAAATCAAACTATTTCCATTAATAAAGCCCAATAAATAAATAAAAAAAATTGAAATTTTATTATGATATAGTCAACTACCCTCATTGATCAAATCCAACGATTTTCATCAATAAATTTCAAAAACGAAGAAAAGATGTGAAGAATGGATAAGTTATGCACACATTCTCCTCTCAATTCAGCTCAACACATCTCACCAAATTTGCGTACAAAATTTTTTTGGTAAATTGCTATTAGAGATTGAAATGTATCGTTTGATCCCAGAAAAATAAAATAAAATAAACGAACAACGTTATTTTTCCAAATGAACAGAGCATAAAAAGAAAAAAGAAAACACCGAAGAAGAAGAAGAATGACACGTACTTTAAGTACAAACCATATTTTGATTTGATTCATAAGTCGGCATACAGAATTATAATCTGTTACAGCACAGTGCATGATTGAGCGGGGTGCAATTTCACAAAATTATAATATGCTACAGCTCTTTAATGCTATTTATAAAGTAGCCCTGCATTTAGTTGTGCCCTCCTCCTCCTCCTCCTCCGGCAGCGCCACCCGCCTCTGAGCCTGATCCGCCGCCACCACCAACTTCTCCACCTGGTCCCCCAACACCTGAACCATCTACACCTTTATTTCCCTTCGCAGAACCACCATCAGCCCCTCCGCCATGTCCGCCTCCCTCACAATTTGCTCCAACTTCTCCGTAGCTAATGGCTTTCAGGGACCTTGCTGCGGAGGAGAGGCCCAAGCTAATGCTAATGAGAGCTAGAAGTACTAAAGCCCTGAACTTTGTCGGGCTAGCCATTGTGGTTGATGGAGTGATGGATGAGAAGATGTGGTGGACAAGTGTGTGGTATTTATAGCTAAGGGCTTGCACTGCATGGTGAAGGACCTGTAGGTTTATGGCTGCGGCCCCTTCAACTTTCGTGGGGGGGGGGGGGGGGGGGGGGGGGGAAAAAAGAGGGAGGGGAAAGAAAAAGGAAAAGAAAATGATGATGGGAGAGAGAGTAAGAGAAATAAAGAAGGATATAGAGAAAAAGAGAGGTTTAGTGGAACAAAAAAGTTTGTGGAATTTTGGGAATTTTGGCCAAATTTAGGGTTTCAAGAGTACTTAAGTAATTTGGGGGAGTTTAGTGGAAAAAGGCCAAGTTGAGTATTTTTTGTAGAATTGGGGAGCTATAAATCTTTAGTGGGTCTATATATATATGTGTGTGTGTGTGTGTGTGTGTGTATTCCTTTTTCAAGCCAAAATGAGCCGAATACGGACAAACAAATATTTGTTCGTGTTAGGCTCGTTTATATATCGAGCACAAAAAAAAAAAATTTTGTGTTCGACTTATCAACTTAGCGAAAGAATCAAACACGAGCTTCCTAACGAGCCGAATACGAGTTGTTCATGAACAACAAGCCGTTTTGACAGCTCTATAACCAAGTAAGAGGAGAAGAGGTGTTCGCATGACAGTGCTTGTTAAAGTGTGCATCAAGCGACCAACAACGTGTATTGGAGTTTACAGGGTCAAATTTTTTTTTTAAAATGACTTCTTTGTGATGAGTTTCAATATGTACTTCACAAAAATATTAGGAGAAACATCCATACCAATATATATATTAACATGCTATGAAACATAAAAAATAGATTTTCCCTGAATATGCCATATTACCGTTGTATTTTCTTATGCAAGTTTAATCGCTCTAAACAAGCAACATATAATTACATAGATTGTTTAAAAAAACTTAAATGCTCTTTACAAATGTGGAAGGGAATTATTTTGGAAGTTTGTAATATATGTTTTTAATAATTTTGAGGCAAAAAGGTGTTTTAATTTATAAATAAAAAATACAATTATTTTAATGTACTAAAATATTTTAGAAGAGATTTTCAATAATCATCTCAAAACTATCAGATAATGGAAGAAAAAATTAAGCGACTTATATTGATTGAAGCTGTATCACCACCAAAAACTGGTGGGGTGGGCTTCCGGGTAGCTTAGCCTGAAACACTTGCCCACGCATATATGCCTTATTGTATGTGCAGCTGCAATACCACCAAAAAGTTGATTGCCAGGCAGTGCAAATATTCCTTGTGGCCATACCACCAAATATTGGTAATGCCACCGTTGTGCCACTAATATATTTCTTCGAAACCAACTCCCATATTAGTATTCCACTTTCAATCATTAAGGCCATTGGAAGATGAGGAAGAAGTAACTTCACATAAATATTTTTATTCATTTAGTCTTAATTGACCATCCTTTTTCTTAAAACTCTTGAAAATGAAAGTAAAATAAAAACATATGATACCCTGTTATATTTTCTCTTGAAGAAAGAAGACGTAAGATAATCAAAGAATTTAGTGACATTAATGCCTGAATGAGATCACAATGGTTGAAACTCTTGATAAATTTATGATGATCTTTAAACCATAAATCTTGAATGAGCTCATGGATATAGGCACAAAAATTTGAGGCTTCCAAAACTATCAATTTAGCCAAAATAATATTTTGGACATGTAGTAATTGTAACATTTTTTTCTTTCAACTCTTCCAGAAAATCTAATATAACACGCCAAAGTGAGCCTCACCCGATTTGATAAACCCATGACATAGTGCTATCTCTTAGCTATAAATACCAGTCCCATCGGCACCACAGCTCATCTGCCTTCACATATAAATCAGAATGGCTACTGGCAGTAGGCTTAAAACCCTTGCAATTCTACTTCTGCTTAGCATTAGTACTTGCCTTTCTTGTGCGAGGTCTTTGCCACCAGACAATAGTCAAGTGGGAGGGGATGGTGGAAGTAGTGGAGGAGATGGTGGAGAAAAGAGCAGTGGTGACAATAGCAGCACTGGTGTTGGTGGTGATGGTAGCAGTGGAGGAGGAGTTGATGGAGGCAATGGCAAAGATGGTGGCAACGGAGTAGTTGGTGGAGGCGGTGGCAACGGTGGTGATGATGGTGGCAATGGAGGAATTTCAGAGAACAACAGCAATGATAATGGCAGAGAAGGAAATGGTGATCAACCAATCGGAGATCAACCTGGCAGTTATCAACCCATCGGAGATCAACCCGGGGGTGATCAACCCATCGGATATCAACCCGGGGGTGATCAACTCATCGGAGGCGGTGATCAACCTATCGGAGATCAACCCGACGGTGATCAGCCCATCGGAGGTGGTGATCAACCCATCGGGGATCAACCCGGCGGTAATCAACCCGGCGGTGATCAACCCATCGGAGGGGGCAATCAACCCGGTGGTGATCAACCCATCGGAGATCAACCCGGCGGTGATCAACCCATCGGATGGGGCAATCAACCCGGCGGTGATCAACCTATTGGAGATCAACCCGGCGGTGATCAACCCATCGGAAGCGGGCCGTGTGATCAACCTATAGGAGATCAACCCGGCGGTGATCAACCCATCGGAGGCGGTGATCAACCTGGCAATGATCAACCCATCGGAGATCAACCCGGCGGTGGCCTGGCAATGATCAACCCATCGGAGATCAACCCGGCAGTGACAACCCGGCGGTGGTCAACCCATCGGAAGTGGTGATCAACCTTCCGGGGGTAGCAATGAAGACGGCAATGGTAATGGTAATCGTGGAGAAGGTGATCATCCCATCGGGGGCGGCAATGGCAGTGGCGGCGAAGGATATGGCAGTGGAAAGGATGGCGGCTATAACAGCGGAGGTGATGGCCGCCATTAAAGACTGTTCAAAAGCAGGAGGTGGCTGCAGCCACTATCTCGGTGGTGGTGGTGGTGACGGAGTCAACAGTTGAGGTTTGTGAAAGTGGCCTACCTTCTGTTTTTATTCTACTTAACATAAAGGAATAATGTTATAGTTATGGTTACCAAAGAATAAGATCTACCAGATTTTCTAGTTGATTAAAAAGTATGTAATAATGTGATATTATAATATAAGTTGTAATAGAAATTATAGCTATGTCGGGTATTGTCATGTAATGGAGAACGATGTCATTTATAAATGAGATAATATCAAGCACTTTTTTTTTCTGCTTCTCTTCCTATCATTAAATTAAACAAATACTAATTGTGGGAGTTCTGATTGAAATGCATATATATTATAATAAGAGCGACACTTGGTAAATATGCATATGAGTGAAATTCCGAGCCTCCAATCTCATGCATTTATGCATGGTACGATCAAATAATTAGAAATTTGAAGTTGTATATTCGACAACTTAAGAAAAAAAGATGTAAGAGAGCTTTTCACATGAAAGAATGAGGCACCTTTTGATTTTTCATTTATCATTTCATGACGATGATGTTGATGATGATGATGATAGTAATAGCGTGAGTTTGAATATATGATTATTTATCAATTTCATAAAAAAATTTTATGGGCAAGTTTTAGGGTTAAGTCATGAAACTCGTATCAAAGACGGCAAAGTTATATAGGTAAGTCTTGGGGGGAAATCAAAGCCTGAATAAGACTTTTATTCGGATAAATTGTGGACACAATTATACAAATTAATTCAACATAGTTAATAAGTGAAGATTTTAATAAATTGTGGACACAATTATACAAATTAATTCAACTTAGTTAATAAGTGAAAATTTTATTTTATTTTCATTTTTCATTTATCATTTCATGACGATGATGTTGATGATGATGATGATAGTAATAGCGTGAGTTTGAATATATGATTATTTATCAATTTCATAAAAAAATTTTATGGGCAAGTTTTAGGGTTAAGTCATGAAACTCGTATCAAAGACGGCAAAGTTATATAGGTAAGTCTTGGGGGGAAATCAAAGCCTGAATAAGACTTTTATTCGGATAAATTGTGGACACAATTATACAAATTAATTCAACATAGTTAATAAGTGAAGATTTTATTTTATACGAGTAAAATGCGAGATAAAAATCGCCAATGTATATATATATATATACATATTTGCTGATTTTGATTTCAGGAAAAAAGCTAAAATTTTGAGACCCGCTTATTTTATTTTTAAACATGTTGATTTCCTTAAAGAAACTAAAGAATAAATATTTTAGTTAGACTTTCAAATAGATTCTTATTATATACTTATAGATATGTTTATTAAATATTATTTTGTGCATGTTTGTATGTTAAATCTAAATTTGTCCTTTAATGACACCCAAGGATGGAAAATTTTCAATACGGAGCTTGTATGCAGAGCTGTGTACGGTCTCTAATTAGATTAAACCACCTAAATAATATTTAATACAATAAATTTATAAGTTTTTTAAAATAGGACCCCCTTACATACATTTCTTTTTGGGGCCTTAATCTAATTGGAGCCCGTACGTAGCTCGGCGTATGGGCTCCGTATGAAATTTTTTTCCATGGATGGATACAAAGTAGATGAAGAGAGAGAATGTAGGTATTTTGAGGACAGAGAGAGGAAAATAAATGAAGGGAAGAGAGAGATAAGAGAAAAATGCTATAGCATTAGGTTTTTTTTTCTTCAATAAAAAAAAAAAATTATATTCAGTGAAGTTGGACCGTATAAGTGACGCATTGTGATTAAAATATTAATACAGTTTTACAACTGGACTGCAGATATAATACTTTCTCCAATCGCAAACTGGTGTGTAGACCAAGTTTTTTTTGTTTTTGCAATCAATTTGACGGGTACATTTTAGTGACAAAGAACTCTGGGTGAACCGCAAGGTAGTGATCCCCTGACTAATTTTCTTGGCTCATGCAGTGAACGTGACCACTGTTATAGATGCGACCGGTTATATGACCTGATTATTCAGCTTGGGTCAAGAAGTAGAAATGCTAAAGCAATCAGAGAATCTCCTTCATCAGGAAATCATGGTTGTAAGGGAGAATTTTCAGGTGCCTCAAGCTCAGACTGAATAGGATCGCTAAGGAAAATTCAGGAAGAATCCGTGCTGTGGAATTTCACTCAGCTGGGTTACCTTTTGGTTGAGGCTACGACAAACCAAATGGTGAATTCCCTTTTTGCTAATGAGTTGTTGTTCTATAAGGACTAATTTTATCTCGACTCTAGCATGCCCATTTATGCATAGCCAGTGAGCATCTTTCGATTATATGGGATCATTCCAGCATAAGTAATGTTGAATTTGATTGACATCCTCATGAATTGTGGTGTTATTCAATCGTTAAATTGGCAATCCATGGTCCACCTACCTTTTCAGGTAATTATTCTTCTTGTTTGCCTACCCGATACGTTTCATCCAATTCATTTCAGGTAGTAGGATTCATTTTAAGAGATTGAAGAGTAAAATGAATGAATGGAAGCGTAAATACTGCTTTGATTTCATGGAGGGAGGCTGGCTGATTGGGGTAAGTCCCACTTACATGCCTGTGGTGGTCAATCGTTAACGTCTTTGCAACCTTCTGGAGCAAAGAAACAGCATCAAGCGTGCCAATATTAGTGTTCACAAATATTTAGAAAGCTAGGTTATTATCAAGGTGTTAGCTCTAGACTTTTGTGGCATCATGACTAAAAATGATTGGGCCTTCGTTGATTCCACTCTGGAGGATATCAATGCTGCCTTGGCAAGGAAGGTCAAGAAGGAAGGTGTGGTCTGGCTTCGTTAGATATGGACAAATATTTACAGTCAATTTTCCCTTCGATTGTTATTGTTCAAAAGGCAGGGACCAATGAGTTGATTTTAATCAAGAGTAAGGGATACGTCGAAGGACAGATAAGTAACTTTGCTTCTCGTGCAGATACTCTCATGTATGATGGAAGGGAAGTGAAGGCTGATAATTAGGTTTGATGATCAAGAAGATCAACGGTTCCAAATCAGCTCCATTTAATCTAGAGCTACCCTATCATTTCAGGAAAGTGCGCTATAAGCGACGCCATTACTGACGGCCCAATTTGTGTCACAGATGTTGGTTTAATTTCCCATGACTTAGCAACGGATACTTAATCTTTAAATTAATCTTTAAATTTTCAGATGATATTACTACTTCTCGATTTGTCACTTTTTAAGGAAAAAAAAAATAACATTGTTAATCGTCGGTTACTATCTAAATTAAAAAATCAACAGTTAACAACTGTAACTAAACCATCAAAACTTATTATTTATATCATCAAAATTATCGTTTCTTTATATCCCCCGCACGCTTCTCTCTTTCCAATTTCGCCCTAAATTCTTCTCTCATTGCGGTTTCGCCCTAAATCCCTCCCCCACTCTCGTGACACTCTTCCTCTTCACCCGGTGACGGTCCACCACTTCGACAACACTCCTCTATCGTCAACACTCCTGATTGGTAGCTCACGACTCCTATGCTAGGGCATCACAGCTTACAGAGACAACCAAAACCTCATAGACAAGTGACATACATATCACTGATAGTTAAGATGACATATATGCAAAAAATAAAGCATAGGAGTTATATCTGTAAATACTTAGGAATTAAATGGTATGTATGCAAATATTCATTTTTTCATTTATTTTGGTAGAGTGAATTTTTTTCACACACGACACCCATATAATGAGAAGTATGACAACAAAGTAGCACAAAATCTCATGAAATCATTTGTGCATTGATACCCCATAGATTTGCTTTGAGAAATTCTTTTAGAATTGCTTGAAATAGTACTTTTCAGTGATCGTCATTAATAGCATGTAGACATCATCTTCATTACCTCTAGGAGAATGCTTTAAGTAAACTCTTAGACTTCTTCATAATAATAAGATGTAGCAGAAAAACAACATCACTTTGTTAGTGTAAATTCAAAGCATAGTATTCTAACATTAAAAAACCAAATGAGCCTACAAAAAATTCTCTTAAGAAACAAGCTTGAATTGCTTGATGGTTTATTCTCTATGATCATGCATATGAAATCAAAACTGAAATAGTAATGTGAGTTATTGCTTTTCTTTCTTTGTTCTTTGGAAATTATTTATAGCTCGGAACTAACAAAAATAGTGATGTGGTTTAGAATTGGATTTGTTTCTACTTTGATCAAATACTGAGCTGGGTTTTAATCAATGAAGATTTCCAACCATTATTAAGATTCAACCATATTTCTAAATATATTATTATATATTCAAAATTTAGGAAGAAATTTTAAATTTTTTTCTTCAGATAAGTTTTGAGCTCTGGTGAAAGTAATTTTACTTCATGTGAGATGTTATTTTTATTCGGTCATGTGTATTTTGTGGATATTTTAGTTAATGTGATGTTTGCTAGGATTG